TGCATTGCCATTCTCTATCAGTGATCTGATACCATCAACTAATTGTATTGAGAACCACAGCTCAGAGTATTTTGAAGTTGATTTGCTTTTTTAAAAACCCCACTTATTTAATTAAGCAAGGGAGTAAAATTTTCTACCTTATTCTCAGTTCTTTAAGACAGTAAGATATCACCAGCATTGACTGCATTTATCTTTTAGTAAGCTAAATCGAATAACATCAAAAGCAAAGACGTCTTTTGATGTAGTATGTCATAATATATTAATGTAAAATATTTTTAGAGAGGATCATATACAATGTGTAGACATGAGAGAATATACTTAATGTTGTGTGTCTATTTTTTATATATATGTAGGTCTCTAAAAACTTCTTCCTGTGATCCTTCTTCATGGCATGTTCCCGTACACATTCCTCTGTCACTGCCCTCCCTCAGCTTGTCCCATCATACTGAATCAGAAACATATTTGTGCTCTATGCTAATTCATAAGTGTTTCTTGTCAGAGTCTGATAGGATTGTTATTGCTCCCCAGTGGCATTTCATTCTAAGTGCAGTGAAATCTCTTGTACTTGTCACTTGGGTTAGAATGAAAATTTTACATGGGCAGAGGGTGGAGGGATGACGGCTACAGAGGGAAAGTCTTTGCAGGGAACTTTCATTTAAATTAAGGTTTAAAGTAAAACAAGCTTTTTTTTTTTTATAAGGTATTGATTTTCTAAAAATAAATGAACCATTGATAGTAGGAGTTATATTATTTTTGGTGTGCTGGAAAGTATTCAGTATCCTGAGTGATGTCAGATATTGAAAGCCCAACTTGATAGCAAGATTTTGCCAGATCAAATTGTCATAGCAAAATACTGAATTTATTATGCATGAGCCCGTGAAGTCAATGCCTTAACGCATCACTCCATCAATAAAGAGGAAGGATGTAAAGAATGCTGTGGGGCAGGGGGACTCCAGCCCCTTAAAAGAGTCCTCCCTGCAATTACCTTACCTGCCAGCTTTCCAGCAAGATAAATGGAAGCACTGTAGCTTGAAGGTGCCTTGGTTAGAATGAGATGCAGTAAGGTCTCTCTGTTCTTTCCAGGCATCATAGATCTGATAGGACTTATAAAAGAATAGAGTTGGTGCCCTGCTGACTAAATTGCCCTCTAGAGGCGTATTAGTTACAGAGCTTCTTTGTTAACTAGGCTGAATGTTTAAACCACTGTTGAACTTCTTTTATTAACATGTTTTAAGATCGCTACACATATGGATACCCTAAGTATCTGCAGGGCGGGAATATTTCTCTGTAATTTACATATAAAAGTTACGTGTGTGTATAACAGTAATATAGAAATTATATCTTTTTATTACTCTTCTGTTACTCTGAGGTCTAGTCAGCACTGAAATTCTGATGACATGTGAACACTAAGAAAGCCACCGTTTTTATATGTTTCTCTTGATATTTCCTTGATCAGCTTGTTGAATAACAGAAATGTTTTTCGTGCCTTTGCAGCTTGAACGAAGCTCTCTGAACACTCATCCGCGTCACTTTTTCAACCGTAACGTGGAATTTTAAGGGAGGACAGGGAAGGAATTTATAGGTCTTGCAGAGAATTTAAAAAATTTCAAAGTAACAATTTGTTTTTTATGAAGAAAGGTTTACATAAAATTATTTCAAATAATGATTTTTTAAAAACTGAGTCTACGTTAAGTCTTTTCTAAGTTTAATTCCATATGTAGTGTAGTAGAAGATAATGGTTTTATATCTGATTATCTACCAATTTTTTTTTCTCTAAGGAAGCATGAAAAGTATGTTTCCTCCCAGCTGATTCTGGTCTGATTGACCCTTTGTTTAGCAGTGATAGACGTCTGTTAGATATTAGAGAGGGCATCCGTACATGGAGCCCACCGCCGATCCTTACAGGGGGCTCCCTGGGTTCTTGTGATACCTTCAGAGAGAGTAGAGTTCTGCCTGGCTCCCACTCAGCGTTTTCCAGGTGGAGGTAGGAGTGGAGTGAGCCCGGTTCTTGGTGAAGCCTGTCAATTCCTGGTGCACAGTAGGTCGCCATGCAGCTCAGCCGGGGCCTGTCTGAGTCATGTGCCCCATGGAAGAGGTTAAGGCAGTAGAGGCCTGGAGTGCCGCGACTCTCCAAATCAGAGGTCGTCACACTGCCCAGTAACGGTCTCTGTCACAACTGCTCTCCGTTGTGGCCCAAAAGCAGCCACAGACAACCGAAAGGGATGGCTGTGGCTGTGTTCCTGTAAAACGTTATGGGCTCTGAAATTCGAATTTCAGGTATTTTTAGTATATCACCAAATATTACTCTCTTGATTTTTTTTCAGTCTTTAAAAATGTTTGGGGGGCCAGCCCCGGTGGCCTAGTGGTTAAGTTCGGTGCGCTCTGCTTCGGTGGCCCAGTTTCGGTTCCCGGGTGTGGACCTACACCACTCCTCTGTCAGTGGCCATGCTGTGGAGGCGGCTCACATACAAAATAGAGGAAGACTGGCAACAGATGTTAGCTCAGGGCGAATCTTCCTCAGCAAAAAAAATATATGTTTGGTTTGTGGGTAGAGCAAAAACAGATAGGGTCCAATTTTAGCCCTCACACCATAGCTTGCAATGCCCTGCTTTAAAGAACCCCGCAGGTGTCCCTTCGCACTTTATGAATTGGTTCCATGGGGTTAGGAAGGGAATGCCTTGGGGACAGGTACTTAAAGAATCATCCAGGACCCCAAACCATTGTTCCGCACCCCACAGCCACCCCAGCTCTGAGGCTGCATGTGGTGAGGAGCCAGCATTCAGCCTGGGGTGGGGACGAGTGGGTGGACTCTTGTCCTGTGTTCTGATTTAGCACATGATACGTGTGCGTGTGTACACATCTGTGAGCTTGTTTTGTTTTGAGGACCTCAGATAATTGCCTTGATTGCTGAAGTGTAAACGCTTTCTACCTTGTATGTAGCATGTTACTTGCTTAATAACCTTCCTCTGTTTCTACCTGGCTTCGCAAAAGTTGTGTTCAGTTCCAGAAGTCTGACTCGAACTATTCCAGTAATCAAGTTAAGGAACAATGTTTTACCAGCTGAATATGTGCAAAATCATGCATCTCATGTGCCCTGAGTAGAAATGTTTATATGTTTTTTTCTCTGAATTCTGAAAATATGACTCAATTCGTTCCATTTTATTTTGGAGATTTAATGATACTTTTTCTATGGTGGTGTTTTCAATCTACACTGTTCATGTTACATTTGTTATTCATAAGCAGAGTTATATGACATTGAAGATTGTTCTCAATTTTACTTAGAAAGATGTTATTCTTCTTGGCACAAGAGTTTTTTGTTTTTCTATAACATTCATCTTTTTGTGAGGTTTTCGTCAACTATTCTTTAGAATGTATTTTGTTTGTTTGTGTGCTGGGGAAGATTTGCCCTGAGCTAACATCTGTTGCCAGTCTTCCTCTTTTTTTTTCTAACGTGAGCCGCTGCCACAGCGTGGCCACTGACAGGCAAATGGTGTGGTTCCACACCCAGGAACTGAACCTGGGCCACCAAAGTGGTGTACACCGAATTTTTACCACTAGACCAATGGGGCTGGCCCTAGAATGTATTTTTTAATCATTGGCAATTTGCTGCTAAAAAAAGAGAAGTTAATTAAGTATATTATATGATGTAAGAGATGATTAACAGGTAAACTTTCCAGGAGACTAGGATCCTAATCTTGTTTGCTTTGTGACATTTTGGGGTACCCTGAAGAGCTATAACCAGGCTCTGCTTTACCTGGCCCCATTTGTACTTCCTAGTCTAAATTCATTCTTCAAATCCTGAGCATCTTCATCCAACAGTTTTCAAAGCCCTAGTTTTAGAAATCCCAGTAGTAAGCAGTGATGTAAAATTAAACATTAATAAAATTGAATGAGTGGAAGGTATCAAGTAGGATGGGATATGCTTTGTAGATAGTAGCATAACCAGGTATTTCTGATCCCACTCTGCAGTAGTTAGTCCTAGATTATCAAGACAAATATCTTATACTGCAGCTCAGCCTTTGGAACTCATTCAGCACCGAGCTCTCGGCCTGCACTGGATTTGCAGACTTAGTGTCCAGTCGTTGTGGCAGGCCTGTGCAGACTTACTGAGCACCCGCTGGTGGTGGCCCCAGTCTAGGCCCTGGGGCCACAGCAGTGAGGAAGGCCAGAAGAAAGTCTCTGTCCTCCTCTCATTCTGATGAAGGTGCGAAAGACGGTTTCCTCCTTGCTCTTCTCTCATCCTCCCTTCATCATCTTCAGCAGATGCATTCAACAATAACTGATTCTCTGAGCTTCCATTTCTGTGTCTATCAAATGGGGAGTTTAATAACTGCCTTAGAGTTGTGATCAAATTAGATGGCATTAAAACTGTTATAAAAAGTAAGGGATAACATTTCTGCCAAAGGAACTGTCAAAGGGACTTATTTTCACAATATCATATAAAAGTACACATATCAATATTTTATTTTAATGGCACTTTTGCAAAAGTAAAGTGTAAGAATTTCTCGCCACAAGGTTTGGTTAAAATTTTGACTGCTATTACCTAAGAATGTCCTAGTTTGAAATTAAAACAGTCCTCCAGTGTTGACGTCTATATAGGAGGACCCACAGCCTGTAGTTTTCAGGTTATTGAAGTGATCGATTAGGACTCAGACATGAATGGTAAGTCACCACCTAAAGAGCTGTTTCCTGTGACTCTTTGAACAGCCTGGGTGGACTGGGTGCTGACAGCTTAAAGGAAAGCTGTAGGATGGTTTTATGAAAGAGAGGTACAACTGTTCTCACTTTTTAGGGATAGACCAGATCTTATGGGTTCAACTTATGAGAGACCTTATTCAAGTCTTCTAATTACAAGTGGCCATGCTCTGAATTTTGGGTGTTATCCAGAAAACCTTTGTCTCTGCAGGGGGCGTTGTTATGATTTTCAAATAGTCTTTTGAGCAGATATTGGTCCAAATATGTGTTACTCTATAAATACATGCTGTTTCTTTCTTTCTCAGGACCTGTCCGGCTCCATCGATGACCTCCCCACGGGAACGGAAGCCACTTTGAGCTCAGCAGTCAGTGCATCCGGGTCCACGAGCAGCCAAGGGGATCAGAGCAACCCAGCTCAGTCGCCTTTCTCTCCGCACGCATCCCCCCATCTCTCCAGCATCCCTGGGGGCCCCTCACCTTCTCCTGTCGGCTCTCCTGTCGGCAGCAACCAGTCACGATCTGGCCCAATTTCTCCTGCAAGTATTCCAGGTATTCATTACTTAATAATTATTATTTTACTCTCTAGGAAAGACAGACCTAGTGTTCATCAATAGCAACATACATTCCATTACTTTTTTTTTGACTGTTTGAAAACCTAGTGATGGGACCACGTATTAGGAGCATAAGTTTGTGAATTATCGTCAAAGCATACAAGAGTCTCAATTCCAAAAGACTCTCAACTAATGAATGTAAACCCCCAATTAATAAAATCACCAATTACTTTGATATTTTCGGTTTGCGTATTTACCTTAAATTATGCCAGAAAATTATTTATTCTTGTAACATATGTTTTGTCATGATTCTGTTAAATAAGATCCTCTGGTAAGTGCCACTGAGGTGAGATTGGTGACTAGTATTGGCCTTGGTGTTTTATGGTTCTATTTAATTTATACCATGGCTGTTATTTTCTAAAATATTTTTAGTGTTTATACTCATCAGTGTCTTAATTTGCCAGCACACCTTCAAGGCCTTGTTACTGATATAAACTCTTGCCTTCTAATTTTCATATAAGGAGTTCGTGTTCCAATTAACTCTTGGATTCAGCCATTTCACTAGTCATACCACTTGTGTATCTTCTGCTTCCTTTACTGTGTACTTGGGGTTATTTATTTGTTTATTTATTTGTCAGTTGCCTCATCCTCATGCGGCATTCTTATATCAAACTTCATCCATTCAAACTCACCAAGCAACTAGCTTTCCTTTGTCTGCAAACTAGATGTAAGTTTCTTCTGTGTAGCTTTTGCTAACATGATATAGGTGGCTGTCAGAAAGCACTTTTTACTAGCCTATCAGAATTGATATTGAATTGCTGATAAATTTTCTGATAGTTTATTCTATTATCTTCAAAGCATGGATGGTAGTTTTACCCCTTTTAACATTTTACTCATTTTATATTTAAAAGAAAAGTTTATTGTGAGATGTCATATGTATGTGAATATATATAAACATACATATAAACATTTGTAACATGCTAATTATGAAACATAACTATCAAGTGACTACTCACAGACCCCCACCCAGTTGGGAACTGGAGTATTACTGGTGTTACTGTATCTACCTGTGTGTCCCTTCCTTATCCTCAGCCCTATACCTCTCCCCTGCCTAAGATGCTCTCTTAATACTTTTTTTAATCATTCTTTTTGTTTTGGGGGGTTTTTTAAAGAATTTTATTGCAAACATTCATAGAGTATATATCGTTAGTTTTATTTAGTTTTGAGCTTTATAGGAATGTATCCTATTTAGAATAACTATATAATTTATCATCCAAGCTGAGACACTTTTGAGCATGTAAGGTTTGCCGTTAATAATTACAGTAGGACAACAGGCATAAACCAGGAAGATTCTAGGCCAATCAGGAAATAAGTTCACCCCAATCATACTGTATGTGGTCTTCTACAGTTTGCTTTTTGGCTAAATGTTATGTTTCTAAGATTCATCCATATTTTGGATATAGCTATAATTTTAATGCATTTTGATTAAGGCGTTTTGATGTTTGTTTTTTCAAAAATATTTGCCCTCATAATTTTGTAATAAAACCTGGATTTACCTGCTTTTAACATTTTTAAAGCTAGAGTACTCCATATTCCAGAATTCCTCAGGTGGTTTTTGGTATTGAGATGGCTTTTGAGGCATCACCTACCTAAACATCGGAAAGTTGTATGTAAAATATCATGTGTCAAAGAAGAAATCACTCCTTTTTCTGAATTGGGTCAAAAGGACTTAATAACCTAAATGAAAACTTTTCTGAGGTATAAAGATAATGTGGGTTTTCATTTCAAATCCCTAACCAGGTGGTTCACTCTCTGATGATTTTCATACACATTTATCATTCCAGATGGGGATTTTGATACCTTATTTCACTGTGTGGATTTTGTTGTGGCATAGAACACATAACCCCACAAAAGAGCTCCCTGTGACACGTGACTCACGTCTTGTGGAGTGGGTAGCTCAGCAGGTGTGGTTGGTCTCCGAGTCCGGTGCTGAGGTGTGTTTTGCACAGAATGAAAGTTGGTCGGTGGGTTACGCTTCTGATGCCCTATGAGCACAGTCACCAGTGAGGCCTCCGCCTCACAGTTGCTGTGGGGAAGACCAGAATGTGATTTCTCTCGGCTAACTTCTTGGGAAAGTGAATTTTTAAATAGAAAGCTTTCAACTTTCTCGGCAACGTCGTTTAAAGCGTATAGTTTATGTTTTAAACTTGTGTCAGAAATGCTAACTGCTTGGGGCCGGCCCCGTGGCTTAGCGGTTAAGTGCGTGCGCTCCGCTGCCGGCGGCCCGGGTTCGGATCCCGGGTGCGCACCGAGGCACCACTCCTCCAGCCATGCTGAGGCCGCGTCCCACATACAGCAACTAGAAGGATGTGCAGCTATGACAGACAACTATGTACTGGGGCTTTGGGGGAAAAATAAATAAATAAAATCTTTAAAAAAAAAAAAAAGAAATGCTAACTGCTTGGGCCTACATTTCCGTTTCACTGTCCCAAGTGGGCTCCCCTGCAGCCTGCGTCTACGTGGGGCCTGATGACATTCTTCGGTGATATTTAGTACAGGAGAAGAAATTACGCAGAAAAAGTTCTACCTTTTGGGGGGGCATGCTATTCAAGTAAATCCATAATTATCTTTGCTGAATGTGAAGCTGTATAGAAATAGAATTATATAAAACATGGCAAATGGGACATTTCCTGATGTTAGTGTTATTCTGAGAGGAATAACCTCTTAGAAAATCTGATGAGCAGTGTTGGTATTTGTTCACCTTCCTCCCAAGTAGAATTACAAATGACACTTGACTCGGATGGACTTGCATAATCACCTGATCCTACCTCCTCATTTTATAGCCACTTTACTAGCTGCGTGACCTTGGGCAGGCCTCTCAGCCTCTCTGTGCCTCAGTTTCTGCGTCTGTAAAGAAACTAACCACATCTCACAGGGTTGCTGTAAAGATCAAGTGTGTTAATACGCTACAGCAGGCCATGGTAAGCATTCATTGCATGTTAGTCATTGCTCTGATTACGGTTGTTGTTATTCAAGCTGAGGCCTAGAGACTTGTCCACGGTCCTTACTGTCCAGAACAGCTCAGTTGGTTTTGGCAGCAGGTCTTCTGATTCTTGATCCAGTGGTGGTCTTGTACATTTCAGAAGACATGAATATAAAGTTTCCAGTGATGAGTTCCGGGGTTTACTGAGGTTATTCAGTAGGACGGCTAGATCTAGCCATAAAGGCATAATATGTTTCCACAAAGTTGAACCCATTTTTCTTCTAACTTGATAAAAAAGATAGGTCAGTGGTTGCTCTTCTTGGGGTTGGGTCTGAGAAGGTTAAGAGGAAACCAGAAGAATAAGGAGAAGACAAGAATCTAAACCCCTGCTTCACTCAGATCATAGGCAGACTGATTTCTGTGTGATGTGGTGGGCAGGCCGTCTAGCATCAAATTGAACAAGAGATTTAGTTCAAGATCCTGAGTTATTTCTCACACTTTTTGCGTGTATCAAGACAACATCAGCTAACTGAGGTCAGTACCACCCTAGCCAGGGCTGCCACGTACAGTTGAGCAGGTTGCTCGTTGGACAGGGACGTGGGCCCGAGGGGTGAATGGGAGTGAAGTTCAGGCTGCTCTCCTAGGGGAAGGGGCACCCTTTTTAAATTCATACAAAGAAGCCACAGGGCTATCAGCACCCTTGTCCTGGACCTCATGGTAGTCGTCGTCCATGACTTGAGTCCAGACGCTGCCTGTTTCTCCCTTCTGTTCCCCCAGCGAAGCCCAGGGACGTTCAGACATACATTTTTGATAGATGCTCATCAAAAATTTTGTATGGTGTTATTTTAAGGGGATTTGTTAAAATATCGTGCAGGTTTTTAGCAAAAAACAATTTTGTCTTGTATTTCCCTCTACCTAGCCTATATGCCCTTTTTTTCTTCTTTTAATGCATTTGTGTGAACTTGGTCATAGGTAATAAAATCACACTTTAGAGATGATCATAAAGTTGATTTTTTTTGTTTTTTGTTTAAATGCAAAGACACCTTCCCTTAGAGAATAAATACACCCATATTTTAGTAATCTTACCTCCTCCTTTTCCCATCTCTAGTTTTTATGTTTAAATTTTTTTAATCTGTACATTAGATCCTAATATAATTTAAAGTTTACCTTCCTTTGCTTCCAAGTCTATACCAATGAAAGAAAAATATCAGGCAGAGTTTGCATGGTTTCCTACCCAGGGCACAATACTCAGACTGCTGCTCTGGGAACATCTGTTTGGAATTTCCCTTTATTTTCTGTATGTAGCCTTTGCTTTCTTTTCTCCCCCTTCCTCTCACTCCCAGCACTGACTTGTTTTTTCTGACCTCACTTCTCTCTCATTACCTCCCGCCCTATCTTGCTCCTGCCTCTCCACGTGTCACAGATTGGCTCTTTCCATCATTGTCTCTCCATCAAGTCATTGTTAAAACGCGCAGCTGTTGTGTCGCTGATAGCCGGGATGTGGGAAAGCCAAAATGTGGTGGGAGATTCTTCCTAGTGGCACTTTCCCAGGGTTTGTTGAAAGGAGCAATCATTTTTCTCCATCTCTGCCCTGGTGAACGAAATTGACAGCTAATGAGCAGTATCACGGAGGTAGATAAACAAAGCCCAGGAAAGCATCTCGAATGGCTGAATCTGTTTCTTGCCTGTTAAACTGTTTCTCCACCCGCTGCAAATGTGCCCTCCTGTCATGCCGCCTCGCAAACATTGTGAGTGTCATGGGAACAACTACTGTGATACATTGGCACTGCGTCAGCCCTGGCACGTCCCTCACTCAGTGGGGCTTTTCCTTCCTGCCTTCTTGGAAAAGCAGGGTGGAGATTTTCTGTGGTAAGTAGCCACATGGATTCTCTCCCTTTGTTTGCACATCACTGGGCTCTGGCATAGCAGCTATCTATAGTTAGGAGGTACAGAATTCAGCACTGGTTGTTGAACAAGCACTTGAGAACAGAAATGTCTACGTGTTACATTCCCCC